TGGGTTTAATGAAACCCAGTCTCAGGAGCTCCTCAAGCTGACGCTTGAGTTCGGTGGCCTCGGGAATTGAGAGTCTGTAGGGTGCCTGGTGGTGAATACGATAGCCAGGCACAAGCTGAATGGAGTGCTCGACGTCACGCATCGGTGGGATGCCGGCGTACGAGAACGACGATGGAAAAACGTCGTGGTACTCTCAGATGAGGTCACGAACTGCGGGGTCCAGGTTAGCCGTATATCGTGCGAGTTCCTCAGCGTTAGCGTCAGCGCACGACGACGGAGTGGACTCGACGGACGGCGGAGGGACGGAAGTAGAGATGGGAGCCATGGAGATAGGAGGATCTGGCTCCAGAGGGATGAGCTCGGCGTCGGGACAGGGTGGATCATAGTGTAAGAGATCCGTCACGTTCACCATAAAGAAGGTGACGTCGTCCTGTCGGATGAAGTGGGCGAACTGCCGAGGCGAGGTGACAGTGATAGGAGGAGATGGTGTGGGCACGGAAGGCTCCGGGGGAGGAGGATCGGGGTGTGGTGTCGCAGTGGTACTGATGAAAGCTACGCGATACGTCTGTCCACACTTCGTTTTGAAAACGAGAGTGTTGGTTGCCCAATCGGCCTCGGTGCTGCGGAACCGACGAGACCACGGAGTGCCGAGAATGAAGTCGTACCCCGTCTCCATCACATCGAAATGTGCAGAGGAGCGGTGGCGACGAGACGCCGGGGGACGATTAGTCGGCTCGAGAGTGAGGAAGAAAGGGAGGTCGGTGACCGTCTGATCGAAGAAGCGCTGGGTCTTGTCGTCCCCTAGGGTAACGGAAATGGGAGTTCGAGACCCTGTCGTGGATAAGCGAGCTTCTTTCACCACGCGTGGGTGAATGAAGTCGCCCTGAGAACCGGAATCCCACAGCGCGGAGTACACCCTCGTGGAGGTCCCGAGTCGTACTGGGATGATCGGGAGGGTGCGATCAGGGTTAGAGAGGATGGCGAGAAGGCACCGCAGTGCAGCGACATGGAGGGTGATTCGCTCCTGACGAGCCTGGAGCATGCTCAAGTCCAGAAGAGAGGACACAACGTCCTCGCGAGTAGCAAGCTGCTCGCTGCAACGGGCTGAGTGAATGGCTCGACGCGTCAGTAGTCGCGGCGGGGAAGGAGGGGAGATGATGGTCTGCGGAGGCGCAAACGGTACTACGACAGAGGGCTGAGTACACTCTGTCGAGTCCTGTGATACCTCAACTCTAGTAGCGAGAGGGGCGAGCCGCGACGGAGATGTCGGGAAGCCCACTACTGAGGAGGGCGCAGGTGTACACTGCACCGTGGCTAGGAGGCGCCGCGGGGACGTGAGGCGCTGGGGGGGGACTGAGCACGACGCTGACGAGAAAGGTCAGCGTAGTGGCGGTCGAGGGCGGTAGTGTAAGGGCACCGCGAGGAGGTATGACCGTCCAAGCGGCAGCGCAAACACCCACGCCGGCCCAGAATGGCCGCGCGCTCCTCAGGGGAAAGGACACCACGAGGAGGGACGAAGCCCTGAGGGAGGTCCTCCTGAGGGACCTCGGGGGGCGACGTGCCAGCGTGACCGGGGCGGCTGCGTGCCCGAGTGAGGGCGGAGAACGAAAGCTGAAGGCGCTCAGCTGCAGGGAGGGTAGAGTCCTCCAAGTGATAGTGGACAGCCTCGCAGACATCGAGGTCGTCGCTGTGGTCGCCCTAAGGTGACAGTGGGGCAACAGCGTCCTGCTCACCATACTCCAGCGCGCTGAAGCAGCGCCAGGGCGAGGGAAACGAGCCTGCATGGAAGGAAGAATAGAGGAAGAGGGGGGTGCGCCGGAAGGCGTGGCCACCTCGGAGGGTGGGGGTGGCTGAAGGCGCAAGAGGGCGAGGTTGGCCCGGAGCTGGGCAATCTCGTCCTCGAGACCTCGAACGTAGGTCGTGGAAGGGGTAGCAGGGGGAAGAGTGGAGGAAGTGGATGCACAAGCGGCGTGGGGCATCCCAGAAGGGGGAGAGCCAGGTGGCGCTGCGGTCGTGCGAAGGGGGGGGAGGAGCGGGGCACCCGGAAACGCTGAGACCATGGTAATGGGTTGTGGTCCCGTGGCCGTCGTAACTGGAATCTGGGTCGGTGCGCCCGTAGACTGAGGAAGGGTCTGACTCGTGGCGGCCGTCGAGCCAGGGGCGTGGACGGTCACCAAAATGGTCGGGTCGGGGGCGGCAGAGGAGGAAACTCCGCCGTGGCCACCCTGTCGAAGAACTGGGGACCCAGACTGAGAGCCAGGAGAAGAGAAAGGATGAGGAGAGGAAGGACGACCAGCGTCCTGGAGTTGCTGCACGCCGGCGGCAAGGGTCGCCACCTGCGCCTGTAAGGGTCCGAGGGTCGCGAGTTGCGCCTGGATGGGCGCGAGGGTCGCGAGTTGCGCCTGGATGGGCGCGAGGAGGGAGGTGAGGAGGGTGTGCAGATCCCCCTGGGGCTGATGGCCCTGGTCCGCCGGCACGGGTGTGGAGCCCGATGCCGTGGTCATCGCCGTGTCGGCGGCGTGTGACACACCGTCGGCAATGGGGAGATGACGGACCGGACTGGGGGGGGGCAGAAGAGGTCCGCGTGAGCGGAGGGCGTAGGAGGAAGTCCGCGGTAGGAAGCGGCGAACGGCGCTAGCAAGGCTAGCACGGGCGCTGTTGAAGGAGGAAGGGTGGTTCGGGTCCAGGGTGCCCGAAGAGGACGGGGAAGTAGGGGGGTTTTAAGAACCCTAAACCTTACAAAAACGCTAAGAAAACCCTAACCGAAGTTTAAGTGGTTAGGGTAGGGTACCGATGACCTAATGAAGAAAGTAAAATAGCAAGCATAGGGGGGAAGGCGGGAGGAAAATAAATAAACAGCGAGATTTCGAGAAAAAATAAAAATAAATAAGTAAATAAATAAATAATAAAAATAATTAAAAAAATAAGTAAAAGATGTGAAGGGAAACGATATTTATTTTTTTGAAATTTTCGGCAGCATTTCCCTACCCCCCACGGGGTCAAGAATGTGTCAAGGGAAAAGGAGAGGCCAAGGTGAGCACACTAGAGATGCCGCAAAAAAAAATAAAAATAAAAAAATTCAGAAAATAAATAAGGAAATAATAAATAAATAAATAAGTAAATAAGTGTGTGAGGAGGTGGGGAGAAATGGGTTATCTGATTTTTGAAAAATTTTAGCAGCATTTCGTTACCCCCATAGGGTCGAAGTGTGCCGAAAAGACTAAGGAAGAGAAAATCAGAAAATTTCGGCAGCACTTCGTTACCCCCACGGGGTCAAAACGTGTGCCGAAAGCAAGAAAGGCTAACACCTAATCAGATTTAGGGTTGCCGCCAATAATTTTCAGAATAAATAAAAATAAATAAAATAAATCAAAAAATAAGAAAAGAGGGTGGGGAAGAAGATGAGAAAACTAACAACCAATCAGATTTAGGGTTGCCGTAGAGAAAATCGAATTTTC